GAAGAGACCTACAGGAAGCCCAGAATCCAGTATTCCCAGAATCCAGTACGTTCAGAATCTAGGGAGCTCCGATAGATTAATCCACCATACTTAAGCCCGTAGTTCAAACTAACTTGATACCACTGCCAAACAAGGCACTCTGGAGAGCAACAAGAGGCGACATTACTACAGAACAATATCTCAGGAACAGATATATCCAACTCTGAGCTCGATTGGACCACGGGAACACCAACATAAGCATAATTTTTTCTCTCTCATAGTTAACACCATAGTATTTTTTCTACCATAGTTAAGGAAATTCCGCGAATCCACTTCAAAGTACACTACACACCATCTTCATCATAACTACGCCATTTTATAATATCAACTCTCGAGAGAAGAAATCTGTATTGTAATGTTGTGTCTGGCAATCGAATGGTATCACCCACTAAGCCCATACACATAATGCCCCGATTTGGCGTCAAAAATCGCGGGAAATCATCAATAACTCCATAACTAAACTCGCTACACCATCTCTAGGAATCGGTACATCTGAAAAAAATTGCTCTCCTTCAAATGAGCCTATATGTTCTTCAACCGCTTCTTTCGTTGTTGAGCTATTCCCAAAAAACCAAAAACCCAAGTTTCAAAATGATTTTGAAAAGCTGATCTTGGGTTTTCTGATAGAATTCGCGAACAGTCTAGAGTACACAGAAACAGTACCAAACACCATTTTCATCATAGCTACGCCATTTTATAATATCAACTCTTGAGAGAAGAAATTTGTATCGTAATGTTGTGCCTGCAAATCGAATGGTACCATTCACTAACCCTATACACTTATGTGCACAATTCTACACTAATTTTCGCGGGAAATTCTAAATAGTTCCATCAGTAGACTCGCTACAGCACTTCTGAGAATCAGTACACCTGAACAAACTTATTCTCCTTCAAACGAGCCCTTATGCTCTCCAACCGCTTCTTTCGTTGTCGAGCTATTCCAAAAGTGCCAAAACACAGGTTTTGAAATGCATTTGAAAAGCTGATCTTGAGTTTTTCCTTAAAATCTGATTACGTAAGATTCGCGAAAACCTCGGAATTGATTGGTCACGTGCCTCAATGTTTTTTTCAAATCAGCTAATTCTATTAAGATTGCACTTGCTGAATCATGCTACGAAGAGTAGGCTCGGGTTTTGAGCTCATCAGCTGTGCATTTTTTGGATCTTGTACCTGTCATACTGTTGTTGTGTAAAAAGAAAATGAGTTTAGTTATTTAAACCAATTCCGACCAAGAAAGAAGCTGTATCCTCTTCGCGGTCACAAAAATGCTTTACGTGAATCATTAAACTTAAAATATAAACAAAGGGAGGTAATGCAATAAGCTTCAACTGGGAGCTAAAAGATTTATCAGTTGAATTAGGTTGGTTTTGCTGTGTTGTATGATGTCTACTCTGTTCAATTTTGCCAATAAAGAGAATGCTGCCCATTTATCTGCAAAAGCAGCTCCTAAAACACCAGGTAAAAAATCCACAATATTCAAAGATAACAAGAACATCAATAATGGGAATAAACTTCAAGTATTAAAAGACAACTTCAAGACTCCAACAAATAATAATGAAGTGAAGAAGAGAATCCCTTTGGGTGGAAAAGATAAGAATGTTAACGCTGCACATCATACTGGTAAGAAATTAGGATTTGGATTGAATGATTATCATAACAATAGAGAATTAAATTTATCTTCATCTGCATCTAAGAGAAGAATAAGAAGATTGAAAACGCCTATGAGTAATAGACCAATATCTAGAAAACTAAATGTTTTGAAAGATGATGAAAATGATGATGCTGTTATTCCACAAGATTCTGGAATTAAGACAAATTCAATAGATTTAAAGCATTTTGATGATGAGATTGAAATCATACCTCAAAGGGAAGATCCTTTACCTTTCAAGCCATTAAATTATGATCCTTTCACACATGAAGAGTTGAGATTATTGAAAGAAGGAAATATGAATCCAAGAAAATTTGATTATTCAGATGAAGTTTCCCAATTAACAAATGAAGAGATTTATCAAGAATATCCTTTGAATTTTGAAACCGAATCTGAAGATGAAGGAAACGATTCTTTCACAAATCATTCCAAACAACAACAACCACATTTTATGGAGCCTACGTTCAATTCCAGGGCAAGATCAAAGAGTAATGAGAAGAAAGGTGAAGTTTTCGATGAAGGTTTATCAATTGCTGAATTACAACGTTTGATTGATGAGGAGTAAAGTGAATTTTTGAAGAGATCGCTTTAACATTGTACAATAAAAGAATAAAAGTATTAGAAATGGATGATATGATTATAGGAACATGGTTTATTTTTTTGGTTTATATACAGTTTTGATTAATATTAATGACTTTAATTTACGTTGCAAAGATTATGAGCTGTAGTCAGTTAGTTTTTCTATTGTTGGGTACAACCAGGACCTTGAGGACCTTGATCTTGTTCATCTTCTTCAATATATTCTGGTAATTGATCATAATTTACAATTTTGAAATCAACATCATCAATATTATTTATTGATAAATCATCTAAATCATCAACAATATTATGTTTTTTAGAGCCTGGTAATATATTCAAAACATTTTGAATCTCAGCTCTTTCTGCAAACCAATTATCTGGTGGAAATTCCACAATTACTTTTAAATATAAATCACCTTTTTTAGAAGTATAACTATTTTTAATTGGGAAACCTTCACCTGAAATTTTAAGGAAATCATTTGGTTTAAGAACTTTACCAGTTGGTGTAGAAATTTTCAATAATCTATCATCTAAATGTTTTAATATTATTTTATCTTTAAATCCACATAATGCTTCGGCTAATGATATTTTCAAATCAGCATATAAATCATTTTGTATTCTTTCAAATGTTTTATTTTCAGATTTTTCATGAATTGTTAATATAACATCACCAGCTTCTTTACCATATGCTTCATCACTTTCATTTCTTAAAACTATAGAATCACCAAAATTTGAACCTTTTTCAATAATGAATTCTAAAATTTTTGTTTCTTCTTCTAAAGTTTCACCATTACATTTTTTACATTTATCTTTTGATCTATAAATTTTCCCTTTACCTTTACATGTTGAACAATCAACATATTCTTGAGTAACCATACCAGGACCAACTCTTTTAATTTTTCTCATGTAACCTTCACCATTACAACTACCACATGATTTACTCTTAGCACTAGATTTAACACCTTCACCATGACATAATTTACACAAGATACTTCTACTTGATGTAATTTTAACAGTTTTACCATTATATAAGTCCCCCAATGTAACATTAACATCTAGTTTGGCATCTTCAGTTTTGGTAGCACGTCTTCTTGCTTCTTCACCATTCATACCTGGATGGCCGCCACTCATTCCACCAAAGAAATTAAAGAAATCATCAGGTCCAAAATCTGGTACACCACCATCTTCATATCCATATCCACCACCGAAACCACCACCAAATCCATTCATTGAAGGACCATCAGCATCACCATATTGATCATAATTTGCTCTTTTGGTTTCATCACTTAGAATCTCATATGCAGCACTTATTTCTTTGAATTTAATTTCAGATTCTTCTCTTTGTTCTTCATTAACTTTATCAGGATGATGAGCTAAAGCTAATTTTCTATATGCTTTTTTAATCTCTATAGAAGTTGCACTTCTTTCTAATCCAAGGACTTGATAAGGATCAGACACTATGATAGCTGGTCAATATGTATTATTTCAACAAAACATCTCAATTTAAACTTACTTTCCAATGGATACTCTGAATATTTCTAGTGGAAATTGCCTTCCTAGTAATTTTGATATGCCATTTTCTTATACAAGTAATTTTTTTTGTCGGTGAAAGCAAGATCCGGTAGGGGGACGGGCTGAAAAATTTACTGGGGAAAAATCGGAATGTTCTGCCTAGCGCTCTGCCCAGGGTTCAGCCTAGAGTGAAGTCCGGGGAAGAATTAAACGGAGTTGACAAAACTCAGAAATAACTAGATTTATTATAGCTTTTTAAATATATTAATGATATAAGCTGGCTATTGTTGTCTGAAATGTGTTTCATCCAGTTTTAATGCGGTTTTTAGCTTATAATTGAATATTCTTAGAGATTCCCATAGTTAATAGTGACCCGTTGTAATGACAGAGCGATTTTTTGTTTTTGTTTTTTTGTAAATTTTGAATCAAATTTAAATAAACAAAACACAAATTTGAATTTCAACTTCTTTCTAATCACATCTAAAGAGTATTCAAAGTCATTGAACGTTTTAGATGTGGTATTATGGGAGTTAGATCATGATAGATTGGTAGTATAGGATGATACGTTGGCTGCTTTCCATCTGATGTTTAGGTTAGATTACCATCTTTGATGTGGCTTTATGGTTATTGTGGATCTTTTGTATCTGTCTATATATAAGACATTCATCTCGTTGTTTCTATTATATCAAGAATATTGGTGCTATTCAGGGGAATCTATCCATCAGAATGACTATTACACAACCGGAAACCCAATTATTACCTTCCAAGATCTCAAGTGTTGCTGTTATTGGTGGTGGTCCCGCTGGTCTTACTTCAGTTTATGAATTGTTACATACTTCAAAGGATGGGATTTCAACTGTTGGTGGTGGATTACCATTAGAGCCTGCGTTTACCAAGATTCAAGGGTTTGAACAGCTATCACAAATTGGTGGTGTTTGGAATGCTTCATTAGATAAAACTGATCCCCCAGTTCCTTCATCAAAAACCTTGAAATTAGAAAGGTTTAATGATCCATTTGTTTTGAAACCAAGGAAACCAATTCCTAAAGACTTGGTGATTGGAAAGGAAGTTATCAAGCCTTTAGAAATTCTTCATCCACAATATTCAAATTCTGCCGTTTATGAACATTTATATACAAACATCCCAGAAGAATTAATGAGTTTTTCATATCAACAACTTCCAAGGTTATCCGAGTCATCCATACGTCCTTTTTTAAGACATTATGAAGTACTGGAAAGGTTGAAGCTCTTAGAATCAACTTATGACTTGGGGAAGTATTATAGATTTAACACTGAAGTTGAATCAGTTTCTTATAATCCAAACTCCAAGAGTTGGACTTTAGTATCAAGAACAATAAATTATGGAGATCAAACAGAAACTTGGAGATCTGAAGTTTTTGATGCAGTTATTGTTGCTGGAGGTCAAAATAACATACCTTATTATCCACAAATTAAAGGTCTTCAATCTTTTATCCAATCATACCCAAATAAACTGATACATGCCAAAACTTATAGATCATCTGAACAATTGGCAAATAAAAATGTTTTAATTATAGGTAGTAGTTCTACAGCATCAAATATTATAAGTACAGGTTTTCCAGTGGCTAAATCAATTTATTTATCAAGAAGATCACCAAAACATAATTTTGACTATTTGAATAGAGTCTTTGCATCAGATGGTATTATCCCCAAACCAGAAGTTGAAGAATTCCATCAGGACGGTACCATTGAATTTAATGATGGTTCTTTATTGAAAGATGTTGATTTGATTATCATTGCAACTGGTTATCTTTATCACGCGCCATATCTCCAGGAAGGCCTTTTAGATTTAAACAATCCAATTGAATCACCAATTTACTCTAAAAAGGCTGATAACTTATATCTTCATGCTTTTAACATCAAATTACCAACATTGGCGTTTGTTGGTATTCCAAATACACCAACCGTTTGGAGAGCTATTGAAACCACTGCAAGTGCAGTTGCAGGTATTTGGTCTGGATCCAAAAGATTACCACCATTAGAGGATCAATTGAAATGGAGATTGGAAAGAATCGAAGAATCAACCAATGATAAGAGATTTCAACAATATCCTACTGATTCTGCAAAGGAAAAACTTATTGATCCATTATTTGAATTAGCTCCAAAGGGTAGAACAAATCCATTACCTGATGATCAGTATAAACAAGTGATCAATAAAAGCTTTGGTGATTCTGAAAGATTATTTTATGAATTTAAAAATGGTGTTCTAAAAGATAAATGAGTGTATTGTATATTTACAATTGTATATGGTATATGGTATATGCACAGTTAAATTTGACAGTTTTCTTATCGTTTTCCGTTGGTGCATAATCAGCTTTATACTAACATGTCGAAACAATAGAGAATACCATTATCAATTTCATTGTTATTGAAAGAGATGTCTGTGCTTTCAGTCTAGAATATTTACAAATTGTCTATTATGACTTTATAGTTCAATAAAGGTGATTAATTCTGGGTTTATTGTGTTTTTGATTTGAGAATATTGCGATTGGCAATCTACCGTTAGTGCCGAATCTAAAAGTTTATATAAAGAGCAATTTTGACCAGCTCCTTATTTTCCAATGAACCACATTAAGCAAAACAGAATAGATCTATATTATATACATAGATACATCCATTCAATCATATTATAATACACTGCATTGAATTGTTGCTAGTATCATATAAATATGTCTTCAATCTTGGAATTTTTCAACCCTGGTAAGAATCCAGTTGTTAATTCATCATCAACAACAGAATCAAACTATTATTCAACTTATAAGGCTAATTATGAATCAAATTTATTGAATTCCAATACAGCTTCCAAATCATCCCAATATTTTATTAACAATTCATCATTAGAAGACAAATTAGAATCAGAAGCACATAAAATAAATCAGGGAATCAAGGATGAGTTCAAAGGTATTAAACTTTATAGTGCAGAATATTATTATACTTGTACACTTGGTGGTATTTTAGCTTGTGGACCAACTCATTCGGCAGTTACACCTTTAGATCTTGTTAAATGTCGTAGACAAGTTGATGCATCACTTTACAAATCAAATTTACAAGGATGGAGAACTATAATTAAGACTGAAGGATTCGGTGGTATTTGGACTGGGTTAGGTGCTACAGCAATTGGTTACTCATTTCAAGGGGCTGGTAAATATGGATTTTATGAATTCTTCAAAGAAACTTATAGTAATTTAGTTGGACCTGAATTTGCAAATAACTATAAAACTGGTGTTTATCTAGCTGCAAGTGCAAGTGCTGAATTTTTAGCAGATATTGCATTATGTCCATTTGAAGCTATTAAAGTTAAAACTCAAACAACAATCCCACCATATGCAACAGGTGTATTAGATGGATGGAAAAAAATCACTGCAGTTGAAGGTATTTCAGGTTTATATAAAGGTATTGTACCATTATGGTTTAGACAAATTCCATATACAATGTGTAAATTTGCATCATTTGAAAAAATTGTTGAAGAAATTTATAAAAATTTACCAAAACCTAAAAAAGATTATAGTTCTTTACAACAAACTGGTGTTTCATTTGTTGGTGGTTATATTGCTGGTATTTTCTGTGCAGCTGTATCTCATCCTGCAGACGTTATGGTTTCTAAAATAAACAATGATAAAGGTGCAAATGAATCAATGATGAGTGCAGCATCAAGAATTTATGGTAAGATTGGATTTGGTGGATTATGGAATGGATTACCTGTTAGAATTGTTATGATTGGTACTTTAACAGGATTACAATGGTTAATTTATGATTCATTTAAAGCTTATGTTGGATTACCAACAACTGGTGGACATTGAATTTACAAGCATTATATATATATATGAATAAACTTGTTTCTCTATACTATATATATATATATTATTAATTCATTGTAATATATACTAAATTTTATATTTCTAATACTTTTTGTAGTAATTATTATAATTATTTCCAAACATTTTTAAATAAATCATCATCTAAAGGATTTGAACCAAGATTTCCAAAAGAATTGATTGGATTTTGTTGAGGTTGTGATTGATTCCAAACATTATTTTGTTGTTGTTGTTGTTGTTGTTGTTGTTGTTGTTGTTGTTGTATATTATTTAAATTTGAAGTTGATTGAGATAAATTAAAATTATTAAATTGATTATTATTAGAATTTTGTAAATTTGGTGTGGAATTTGATATAGGAGTTGAATATAATGAAAGTATAGACTTCTTTAAATCAGGTCTTTGATTTAATGATCGTTGTTGTTGTTGAGGTTGAGATGTTTGTTGTTGTTGTTGTTGAGGTTGTGTTGGTTTTGAAAAGTTTAAAGATTCAAGATTTGTTGATGGTTTTGGTAATTGTTGTTGAGGTGAAGATTGTTTTGGTGCAGCTATTGGTGAACCAAATTCTAAATCTAATAGATTGTTTGATTTTTGTTGTTGAGGTGCTTGTTGTTGTTGTTGGGTATTATTTATATTTTCATTATTTATAGATCCAGACCCATTTGTTCCGGATCCATTTGATCCATTTGATAAAGTTGAAGGATCTGGTATAGTTTTAGAGGCAGCCCATTTCTTTAAATCATATTTAGTTCTTATGAAATTTTCAATTTTGGAATCATCAGGTATATGATTCCCATTGGGGAATTTATTTTCCCAATATAAATTTGCCTTAGAATTCCCCCATTTAACCATTGATTCAACTTGTTCATTAGTCCAAGTATCTAAATCAACTGATTTTACACGGGAGATATGAGTCCCCATTGATCTATGAATTCCTGAACAACGAATACATATAAATATACCTAAATTCCAACTTGCCCATCTTGGATGTGAAGCGGTTTTACAATCAGCACAATGTGAATTACCTGGTTCTTTTAATAAAGCTTTAAGGATTTGTTGATTCTTATCACCTGATTTTCTGACTCTTGACATTCTTTAATTACTTGATCTTTGATCCCTTTGGTCTTTTTACCTTTTGTTTATTTATGAATTCAAGAGTTCAATTCCAAAACTTTTGTTGATCTGTTCAAAATGTTGAAACCACTCAGAAATTTCGCGCATACAAAAAGCTAGATTATGTAAAACACACTATTAAGATTATGTAATTGAGTAGTATCCGGGTAAATCTGTCATTTTGATTTCGATTACATAATTTTTGTATTGGTTCTTACGTAACCACTGTTTTTTTGTTGATTTCTCGTATTTTCAATTCAACAGTTTTTTATGAAAAGAACAATGAAGTGAATATATGAGCTCAGTTGTTCTGAAGGCCCAAGGGTATTATAGGTTTTGATCTTTGATTTCGGTTTATGGAAGAAAGATTAGGTGTATTGATTGGTGATATAAGGTAGAAGATAATTGGTTACAATATTAAATCAAAGAATCATATTGTTTAATAGAAGAATTCGCAAATCAAACAAGTATACATATGATTAAGATTAAACAATTCATATAATCATTCATATACATAACTTTGTTTTGGTTTTTTGGTTTGTTTTCATATTTATTACATTCATAAAAGTCATATAGAAAAAAAGGGTGCTGGTACATCATACTTATTTATTTTCATATTAATCAAAAGGGATATTATTTCAAAGTGTTTATTCAAACTCCCATATTACAAAATATAACCAAGGGACATAATCAATCCCTTAGTGTTAAGAATCAAATGTCACATAAACCACAAGATGATACTTTAATACAGAGGAATCACACAAAGAAACACAAAAAAACAAGATTATTTAGTAAGAACCAGGATCCAACAAAAAATTATTATACTTTAAGTGAAATTGCTACACATGATTCAAATAATGATTTATGGATGATTATTCATGGTAAGATATATGATGTTACATCAATTATTGATGAACATCCTGGTGGAGCTGAAGTTTTATTTGAATGTGGCGGTATAGATGCAAGTGAACCATTTGATGATGTTGGACATTCACAAGATTCAGTAAGGATGTTGAAGCCATTATTTGTTGGATATGTTAAACAAGATAAATTGGATATGGTGGATCATAGTGATGATGATGATGATTATTTATTAAAACATAGTAAGAACTTAAGTCTTGGTGAAAGTTTATTCTTTAAAGAGTTTAAGAAACAAAGAAGGAAGAAGTTTTTAAATGATAAATATTTTAATATAGCCATGATAGTTTTAGCTATCATGGCAGGGTTTTCCTATTTACAGATTATAAAAAACAAATTAGATGATAATTAAAGACTATGATAATGAATAATTGATTAATGATGAGATATTGAGATGTAGATTTACTAACCGCTCAGTATACAAACTAATAGTCTTAATTAAATGGAATAGCGGTAAATCTACAAAAGCTTTGATTAAAAAACATAGTAAACATTATATAAAGATCTTGTTATCAATCTAGACAAACATCGAATCTTTAAAAATGTAGACATATATTGAAATTATATTAACCTTCATGCAGTTAGTAATTTATTAACAATATAAATATAAGTTAATTGTTAATACGTACCACTAAATTATGCAAAATTCAAATATAATTTAGATAAAATGTGATCTATTCAGCTTGGTTTAAAGAGAATGAGTACAGCCTTTTATATATATATGAGATAAAAGACCTTTACGGATTCCACACTAAAAATATTAAAACATGCAATCTTACTAGAAAACCCAATATAGTCTGCAGTTATATATAAAAGTAATTCATAAATTAAGGATTTGTTAAAGTTTATATACATGAAATCAAATTAGCCGCCAAGAATTTCATTAATAGATCTTGATTAACTTATATTAACAACTAAGCGCTGGCGTGATCATGTTGAAGTTATTACTACATTAGGAAGTCAAGGAAGAATTAAAGTTATAATTGCTATACCGATTAGGAGAACAAGGAAACCAAGTTATATCTATGAATTAGGTATTCCTTTGGGATACTTAGGAGATATCATAATTAAGAGATATCTCAACAATATATACAGAAGACTGAACAGGATTAGATCATTCAATTATATATCTATTTAAATTGTGGTTCTATTCTCATCTTATTCTTAGGTATAACTAGAACAAATTGTGGGTGTAGTACATTTATATCAATTGTTTATAATCTACAAAAACTTATAATGAATTGAAAAAACGTAACATAATATTGAAATATTAATCTAGTTGTCTGCAAATATATCATCAGCTAGGACAAACATAAATTATATCAATTTACATGATGTATATTTTATGTAATAATATATTGAAATAACCTAATCCATGCAGCAACTTTAGTTTATAACATATTGTATATGAATATTATAAGATCAAGTTAATATGCACTAGTACCATTAAATTATGAAATTCAATAAATTAAGATCTCAAATATTCGAAAACAAGTTAATAAATGTGATCGATTCAAAGCCTGGATCAATAATTACAATGACCACGTACCAGAATTTGTTGAGAACCAAGACATCTATAGATATTTTCCAAAAAACATGTGAAACACTCAAATTTATAATAAAATATAGAATTTATATTTAATAATTTATCTTTTAAAAGTTCAAAGGATTTGATAAAGTTTATATATAGTAAATTTGCCGCCAAGAAATTCATGTAATTACATAAAGTCATGAATAAGCGCTGACGTGATTGAAACACGATGATCGTAATTTCTTAATTATACGTTCTTATGTTTTTATATATATAGTAAAATATAGTGGATTCTTATTATACAGATTGTTATTATGATGCTTTAAAGTATTGTGGATGTAAGCTTTATTTTAACTAGTAGTCATGATGATTATATTGATAATTGTATATAAAGTACTGATGTCAAAGTCTGATCCATACGTAATTCATCACTAGTTATATATTGATCTAAATCTTTGGGGCGCCTAATCAATATATTTAAATCTATATTCTAAATTCATAATTACTATTCTAATTAATATACCACAGCGGCTAATTTCATTATAACATAATATAACAACAGCTTGTATATATAATAAATAGAATTTACGCTATAGTATTGAATAGTACACTAGTAGAAAAGTATCAGATGATCCAGTGATCACTACACTTGTCTATGATATATCCTGATATCTAATAACTCAATTATGGAATGATAATCACTAGCTTATAAATATACAATAGACTAGAGCAGTGGCATATTAGCGGTAAATCTACAAAAACTTATAATCAATTTAAGAACAAACATAATGTATATATTTAAAGATCTAGTTGTCAAATCAATATAGTCGACAAACTGCATAAATCTCCTTATATACAACTATTTAAGTGTATTAAAAAATAATTAATAATATAATACTATTACTATATTAATAAGTTAATGAAACCACTTAATAAGAAATAAAGACACACAATTCTATAACAACCGACCAATAATAAGCAAAAGCATATGAGATCATTTCCAATCAAATCATGAAATATAAAATAATAGAATTGATCTGTGATAATTTGGTATAAATCAAAAGAATAAAGACGTTAAGTAGTTAATATATAGGGAGCTACCA